TAGATAAGAGAAACTATGCTAGGCATTTTATATAGGATATCTCATTTAATCTTCACAAATAACCTCGTAAGATGGGTACTATTTTCCCCATTTTATAAATTAGGACACTGGAGCTTAGAGGTTGGATAACTTACTCAAGGTCACAAAGCTTTAAGTGGTAGTGCCAGGAACTGGTGCAGGTCCATGAGAATTTAGATTTAAACTGCACTATGTGACAACATAGAGGGACTAAGAGGGTATTATGCTAAGTGAAATAAGTCAGACTGAGAAAGGCAAATACTTAAATGTGGAATCTAAAGAACCAAATAAACGAATAAACAAAACAGAAACAGACTCATAGATACAGAGAACAAACTGATGGTTGCCAGAGGGGAGGCAAGTTGGGGAGCAGGTTGAAAAAGGTGGAGGGATTAAGAAATACAAATTGGTAGTTAAAAGATAGTCATGGGGTTGTAAAGTACAGCATAGAGAATATAGTCAATAATGTTGCAACAACTATGTATAGCGCTAGGTGGGTACTAGGCTAATCAGGGGGATCACTGCATAAATTATATGTCTAACCACTATGCTGTACACCTGAAATTTATATAAAATATTAAACATCAACTGTAACCGGAAAAAAAAATAATTAAAAAACCTGCACTAAATTGCACACTCTAGTTGCTTTAGGCTTCCTCCCAGTACCTTTTTTCCTTGGGGGATTGGGGGGTGGGGCAGGGGAAGGGAGGGAGGCAGGCAGGGCAGGCTTCAGGGAATTCCAGGACTGAGCTGGGGGGTGCGGATGTTGAACAAGTCTCCACCATTTCTACTGGGAAAGACCTTCACCTACCTCCTGGAGAAGGCGTGGTTGGGAGGCTAGCCATTGCAGCACGCGGATGGGCACCCTGAGGAAGAAGATCTGTAGGAAGACGGACAAAGGCAGGAATGAGGTGGGTGGGCCTCTGTCCTGGGCTGGAGACAACTGGAAATCCCAGGAAAGCTTTGGTGCAAGAGTCCCTTCCTGAGCCCCTTCCCTATTTCCTCTTTTCCCCGTGGAGCTAGTATAAACCTTCCTCTTTTGGTTTCCCTGAGTATCTCCTCAGGCTGCAGGTACTGAGGAAGGATCTGTGAGACCTCTTGTATTTGGGGTGCATTATCTTTGAACGTTTTACCCAGAGATCCTTTCACTGGGTCACCACATTTAGTTAAGAGATTTCTCAAGGCCAGAGAAAGTTAGGCAAAGGTATGCAAATTAGCAGCGGCCCCAGTTTCATCAAAGCGCGGTAACAGGTACCC